TGTGCAGGTGGGGGACCAGGGGGGCTGGCAGCAGGCTGTGGACTAACAGCTGTGGATGCGGTGGAGTGGGGGCGCAAACAGGAGGAAGACAGTAACATCAGTCCAACAACTCTCATGGGTGGCTTCACAGCACCGTCCTACACGGGAGGAAGACTGCATGTGCTCTCAAGCCCCAAAACCAATACAACCCACAAAAAGGGTTAGTTTAGCATGTGATGGCCACAAAAATTGCTCTCTCCTTATCCTTCCTGACTGATTCTTCTCTAGTTTTGTGTTCTCCTTGAGTCCTTGCCACTACTGGTAGCATGAGGTGGTACCTGCAGTCCAATCAGGTTGCACAGATGGTCCAGCTCCTCCAGGATGACACATCCATACATGCGGTCACAAGAAGGTGTGCTGTGTCTCCCAGCACAGTCTCAAGAGCATGGAGGAGATACCAGGAGACCAGTCGTTACATGAGAAGAGCTGGACAGAGTCGTAGAATGGCATCAACCCAGCAGCAGGACCAGTATCTGCTCCTTTGTGTGAGGAGGAACAGAAGGAGCACTGCCAGAGCCCTATAAAATGACCTCCAGCAGACTACTGGTGTGCATGTTTCTGACCAAACTGTCAGAAACAGACTCCATGAGGGTGGCATGAAGGCCTGATGTCTATTAGTGGGACCTGTGCTCACAGCCCAGCACCATGCAGCCCAATTGGCATTTGCCAGAGAACACCAGAATTGGCAGGTCTGCCATCGGTGCCCCATTCTCTTCACAGATGAGGGCAGGTTCATACTGAGCACAAGTGACAGGCGTGAAAGAGTCCGGAGATGTCGTGGTGAACATAATGCTGTCTATAACATCATCCAGCATGACCAGTTCAGCTATGGGTCAGTGATGGTCTGGGGAGGCATATCCTTGGAGGGTTGCACAGACCTTCATGTCATAGCCAACGGTACCCTGACTGCTGTTAGGTACCAGGATGAAATCCTCAGAGCGACTGTCAGACCGTATGCTGGTGCAGTGGGCCTTGGCTTCCTCCTGGTGTAGGACCTCACTGATGCCCTGATCCAGGTCTGGGAGGAGATCCCCAGGACACCATCTGCCGACTGATCAGGAACATGCCCAGACATTGTCATAGGTGCATACAGACTACTGAGTCACATTATGAGTTGCTGTGATAAAATTCACAGTTGGAGTTGGATCAGCCTGTGATTTCAATGGTTTACTTTGATTTTTGGTGTGATTTCGAATCCAGCAGTCAGTGGGCTGATGACTTTGCTTTCCAGTGACCGTCATTTTGTTTTCAACAAAACCTACAATGTACACCAGTAAAGATGTTCAACTTGAATAATTTGTTCATCAAGTTCTGATGCATGATTTAAGTGTTCCCTTCATTTTTGAGGAGTGTAGATTTGAGAAAGGCACGTTTCAGTCATACATCTTAAATGTGAGGGTTTTCCATCACAAATGACTGCACAGCAGTATGAGACAGGACAGGGATAACTATCACTGTGACAATAATTTTATCCTCTGCCTCTACGTTAATGAGATTAGCTGTAGTAATGTGGTGTAATCTACCAGGAATGTGTGTTTATTATGTAACTGGTCACTGCAGTGGCTTGTGTTACTGCAAAAGTTGATGCTACTGCGTCTTTTTGCTCGAGACTCGCTGTGAGGATCCCTGCTGTGTTAACACAGTGATTCCATTCAAGTGAATGAGGGGGCTGATATTGTTGTGAATGTGGGAGTGTCACAGTGGCACCCCCATGAGGCAGATATTTCAATGGCTTTAAGTTTGTAAGCATAACCACCAACCGCTGTGCTTGTATATCTCCAGATCTGGATCAGGCCCAAGCATAATTCAACTTTTGTAAGTTAAAAAAGTAAGCCCATTTGCACATTTGCAAAGTTTGTTTATGGCTTTAGACAACAAGCTGTTAAAAATGACACCAAGGTGACACTGCTGCATCACAATACACTTCCTCCTGATTCAGTTTAAAGCTGATACAGAGGTTCTGGTAATAAGGTAAAGGGAAGAGGAGGTTGAGCTTGGCCGATCAGATATGAGCAAGATCACTTTGTCAGTAGATTCATTTGTAATATGAAATCACAGCATGATGAATTCATGAGGAAACTCACATGCCTCTGGTGGACAAAGAATCCAAAAACAGGGAACTGACCTAAAAGTGAAACTTATCTATGGATATATGATATGACTTGGATGAGATTGCACAAGTTCAGTGGGAGTTTGTATACACGTGCTGATATAGTTTTTCTGTTGTTAAATCGGGATCCCTCTTACTTCAATTCTCGAAAATGTTATCAATTTTTGAACTCCTCCTTCACCAGAGAATCCAAAAATGAAGAAGTGGTCGACATCAAGAAAACCTACCAGGATTGTGGCAGCACAAGAACAGACACTTAAGCCCCTTTTACACTGCCAGATTTTCCGCCAATGTTGGGCCGATTTGCTGGCCAGCTTCGAGCATTTATACACACAGAGCCGGATTGGCGAGTTGATCCGAGGCACCCAATTTTTCCGCCTCGTAGGGTAGTCATATTGGCAGAACCCTTTTTCGTTTAAACAGACCGAGGCGGCCTTCTGCAACGGGAGGGGCTGTTGAAGACTCGTGTGAGGAGCTGTTGATGACGCTGCACGTGCGAGCCACTGGCAGTGGATAAACAGGAAACAGCTGATAGCAGGAATTAGCAGCTAGTAGCAAGAGGGAAACACAAACCTGACAGACACTGTAAAGATGAGCAACTGGGGACGGTGAAGAACGGGCTGATTTACGAGAGAATCGCCATCTGACTAGTCGCGGCTTCCCTCCCACGTCACTGTTTACGTCACATGCTGAGCTACATGTTGTGTTACTTGCTCACACCCCCCATTGCCCCTGAAAAAGGCACATTCTGTATAAACAAAAGTAGGTAGGCACCAATTTTCCGCCCTCCCCGATTTTGTTTTTATACTGCTAATGCTGAAAAAAGACTGACTGGGCTTTCCTGCAAATTTGCACAATTCCTATCTAAAAAGGGCTTTAGTAATGGATCAATAGAAGTGGGGGTCTACCAGCCCAGACAGGACCCCAGGTGCAGGCTGTGCAAAGATGCTCCTGAAACAGTTCAGCATATAATGAGATATATTCATGACAAAGAGTGGCTATGGATACAGGTTCCGAAGTGGAGCACCATCAAGCTGTATGCCAGGAATAAGTGAGACATCAACTCACTGATCCACCTCACCAGGATCTATAACAACATCAGAATGTCATTCAGTTAGATTAGTGTGGTTGGATGGTGTCAAAGAGAGGGAAGGTGATCAGAACCGAGAGGGTTAAACTACCAGAAGGCAGCATTGCAGATGTTCAGGATACCTACAAATACCTTGGGGTCACGCAGGCAAATAGGAACCATTAGGAGGCCACAAGGAAGTCAGCCACAGCCAAATGCCTGCACAGAGTAGGCAGGTCCTGAAAAGTCGGCTGAATGGAAAGAACAAGGTCTGAGCCATTAACACGTACGCCCTACCAGTCGTCAGACACCACATTGGTATAATAAGCTGGCCAAGGGAAGGAGGCCACTGATATCAAGTCAAGGAAGCTTCTCACAATGCATGGAGGGTTTCATCCCAAGTCCAGAGCCTTGAAACTGTACACTAAGTGGAACGAGGCAGGCCAAGGACTGGTGAGCTTTAGAGCCACTGTCCAGGACGAAACAACCAAGATCCAGGAATACATCAGGAAGATGCCCCCCCTTTGTTCAGCACAAAGTAGTAGGGTGTAAGATGCAGGCAGGAACAGCCTACATGGAACGTCATAACCAAGTGGCTGGCACAGTGAACAGGACAATCTGCATTGAGTATGGGCTGGAAGTCCCAAGGTCAGAATGGAAGACACCTCCTAAGGTGGCAGAGAATGACCGAGCCAAGATCCTGTGGGACTTCAAAATCCAGACTAACAAACTAGTGATGGCTAACCAACCGGACATCGTGCTGATGGACAAACAACAGAAGAAGGCAGTGGTGATAGATGTAGTGATCCCAAGTAAAGGCAACAGTGGTACCAGTTGTAATCAAAGCACTGGGGGCTGTGACCCACAAACTGGGAGAGTGGCTCCAGCAGATTCCAGGTACAACATCTGAGGTCCCTGTCCAGAAGAGTTGAGAGGGGGATTTTTTAAAATATAAAAAGTGTGTGTGGATGTGTGTGTACCCAGGTAGCCAAAATGATTTGTCCCCGAATAGGCCTGAACTCGGCATGTCGGGTTAAATTAGCCGGGCCGCGTCCAGTTGCCCAACTTGACAAGACAAGGCTTGAATGATGCCCCAGAATTGGGCCAAATCAGTTGGCCCAACTCCGGCTGCCAACACTGCCATCACTGGGCCGATATAAAAAATGACCTTGCCAAACATTGGAAATGTTGGTAGAAAAGGGGCTAATTTGTTAAGATATGTCTGGCAGCATGTCTTGGGGGATGATGAAAGTGAGCTAACGTTAGCTTTACACAAACCATGTAGACTACCACTTGTCATCATCGCCACCACAGAAGGCCCGTCTCTCAATTCATCCATTTTGACAACGGGGAAAAAACGGTAAGGACAAGGGCAGCTTTTCTGCTCTGAGCTCAACTTAAGACATGAGGCTCATGGAGCAAAAAAACATGAGGCACTCAGCAGTGCACAAGCAGCAAGCAAAACATTTATTCCTCTTAACAATAATTACAAAAAGCTGCTCCAGGTTGCTAAAATGCTTTGTCTGATCAGTGCCTCAGGATCCAAAAAACGTTTCTCCTGCCAGACTACAGGTGTAAGTTCTTTAATAGAACAAATACAGCAAGGAAAGACTCATATGTCAACGCTCATACAGTATGGGCACCTGGCTATTGTTTTAAGACGGACTTAAATAAATGTGAACCTGTCTTCTAAATTTGTCTAATATCAGTCCGTTTCTGTGAGAAAAGGTGAACAAAGTGAGAACTGTGGGTGAATTAAAAAAAATTACTTGAGATTATAGATTATAGTTTTCCAGATTGTTTTATTTACGATTAATATGATTTCCCAGCCATCGATGTTCAACAGATTTTTGATACTGCTGATATGCCAGATATATGTAGCTATCATGCACTATGTGGCCAAAAGTATGTGGACATACTTTTACCTTAAAACTGCAGCTATTTGCGGTAGTTGAACATGTGATTCTAAAACGTCTCATGATAATCGAAAACAACATACGTCATACAAAACATTAACATATAACAACAAAGACTCTCAGTCAGTAAGTCCATCCATCAGTTCATCCGTCAGTCATCAACTTTGTGAGCTCTTCGGCAGAACGTCCAGTGATGTTCCACTGTGTTCTCATTGGCCCGTTCGCTCATGTGGTGAACACGCGTGTTGCGTATTGTGAAACCCTGAAAAATACGGAGATGGGCAAACTGAGTCATATCACCACATAAGTTATAATTTTGCTATTAGCCATATTTTAAATGGGCTATGTTGTACAACCACACACGTACATGATGAATCTCAACAAATGAAACACAGGCTAAGAAAAATGAGCTAGCAGTGACAAGCTATGATGTAATTTCTTGGTGATGATGTCAAAAGTTAAGGTACTCCAACTGATCTACACAGTGTTTTCTATCAAAAAGTTAATTTCTCCACAGATCGGATAAGACCAACATACCGCTTTGGAGATGAAGTCGAGCAGATGGACACGCAGGCTGACTTCCTGTTGGTGGTCACATGGTCCGAAGGTGAAGGACACCTGGTAGTCTCTGGTGTCCATCATGTGTTTGTTCCACTTTGTGAAACTGGCGGAGATGGACTCCAACATTGCATGGACCTAAAAAAAAAAAAGTCATGTAATTATACATTTTTTGTACTAAGTTCTCCCTTATAAAGAAGGATTGCCTGCAATTTGCCATATCAAATTGTTATAATCGCTGATTTGTATGCCTCTGCGCAATAGATACGTTTCTCTGACAGTTTATATCCATGTCTAGAGTAGATCTATACAATCAGCACAGTCTCAAGGTGGACACCGAAAATTAGTGTCACCAATTCATTATCTGACCAAATGTCACCCCTTCTGTTCCTGAGATATGACGTTGAGTAATGAGTGAAAGTGTTTTATGCAGAACATTATGATGATGATGATGATGTCACAGTGAAGTTGACCTTTGACCTTTTGGATATAAAATATCATCACTTCATTATTTTATCCTATTAAACATTTATGTGAAGTTTTATCATAATTAGCATATGAATTCTTGAGTTACAGCCTAAAACATATTTTGTGAGGTCACACTGAACCTTGACCTTTAGCCACAAAATTCTAATCCATTTAGTCTTCAGTCCAAGTGAACGTTTGTGCCACATTTAAAATAATTCCCTTAAGGTGTTCTTGAGATCTCGCATTCATGTGAATGAGATAGATGTAAGGTCATACTGACCTTGACCTTTGACCACTAAAATCAAATCAGTTTGTTGTTGAGTCCAAGTGAACGTTTGTGCCAAATTTGAAGAAATACCCTCAAGCTGTACTTATCACGTTCACAAGAATGAGATGGATGCAAGGTCACAGCGACTTTGACCTTTGATCCTTGACCACTAAATTATAATCAGTTCATCCTCGAGTCTAGCTGCTAGCTGACACAAACAGCCCCTCCTCCCTCAACCAGTTACCTTATGTACTTATGTTACCTGCACACAGGAAGTCAGGCAGAGGGAGCAGGACAGAGGACAGGAGGCCAGAGGACAGGAGGAATGACTCACAGTGACTAAGAAATACCAAACTTCACTCAGTAGGTCAGGAATGTTATTTATGTAGTGACTTTCTGCTGTAAAAATTACTGTTGCTGCTCTAGAAACAACATAAGTCATACTTAAAATATTAAATAATCCTGTTCTCAATTTATTTTTTCTTAATAAATTTTCTAAATAGCAATTATTTAGAAATGAAGAGAACTGATACAGATATCGATAAAGTACAGAATCAATAAGGAGTATTGATAAAATCTTAACAATACCCAGGCCTTCATGTAACTAGTAACATGTAAGTAACTAGTAATATGAAACTAAATTACAAATAAATGTAACTGTAACCAGTTACTTTTACTGAGTAAAACAAATTACAGTTACTAATCAAAATGTTGGTGATTACAAAGAGGTTACATTCAAATATATTTTAAAAAGTTCATATGTAGAATAAAACAGATATTTTGTTGCTTTTCTTTTGTCATAGCCTGTTCCTGTGCATTTTTCAGCTCTACTATCATTTGTTAGAAAAGTAATCAAAAAGTAATCAAATGTAATAAGTTACATTATTTTGATGAGTGATATATAGTAGCATGGGGCTCCAAGAGTGACTGAGCACAGCTCTGTCTGGGCCTGGACAGACCTGTGAAATCTCAAAGTGATGCTAAAGGACAAACGTGTGACGGAGGGCCCAGTTTACGATCTGAGGGCTTCACAATAACCTGATAGCTGCTGATACTTCCACATTCCACAGACACACACTGCAGCAATCAACACACTGATCCTGAAACAAAGTACAAAAGGGACTGATGATTTTTACATTTAGAGCGGACTGTGTGTTAATTAATCCATGGACTTATTCAAGGGATATGAAACAACAGGATCCTGTCTCTAACAAACTTCATGGGGCACGTGTAGAGGTGCGAGTGTTTAACAAAAGCACTGCCCCTCCCCCTCCTCTGCATTCCTCAGAGAAGAAGTTAAGAAGGAGTGTGTGTGTGTGTGTGTGTGTGTGTCACAAGCAACACAGCGACTGTAAAAATTTAATTGCTTTTAATTTCTGTGCAAACATATATACACACATAGCTCTGTTCATATATATTCACTCACCAGCCACTTCATTAGATACACTTGTTCAACTGCTTGTTGTGACAAATATCTAACAAGCCAATCACATGGCGGCAACTCAATGCATTTAAACCTCTGGATATATCTGATTTAAGTATTTTGGAAATTGCTTATTTTCTGGGATTTTCAACCACAACCCTCTGAAAAAGAGATAACATCTAGTGAGCTGCAGTTCTCCAGACGAACTACCTTGTTGATGGCAAAGGTCAGAGGAGAATGGTCGGACTGGTTTGAGCTGCTAAAAAGACAAGAACTCAACTAACCACTAGTAACTGAGGTATGCAGAAAAGCATCTCTGAATGCACAACATGTCGAACGTCTAAGATGGGCTACAGCTGCAGAAGACCACATCAGGTGCAATTGCTGTCAGCTTCAAACAGGGAACTGAGGCTACCGTGGGCATGTGCTCACCAATGATTACACAATCATTTATGGTTCCCAACTGGTGCAGCCATGGGGTCCAGATTTCTCTTTAATTATTAGTTCGAGGTCCGCACAGTTTAATAAATTCAGTGTCATACTTATGTTTGACCATGTCTTTGACCTAGTCTGCTGTCTCTGTCAAGAAGCTGTCGTTTAGTCACTCACTCTGCAGAAAACGACACGTCATCATAAAAGCTATGTACTGGAAATTTACTGTACTTAAAATTAAGTGTGCTTTTTTTTTTTTTTTTTTTAAACTTGACACATTTGTGACTCACTTACAGTCCATTCAGAATGGGCCTGCGACCCACTTTTGGACCGCAATCCACCAGTTGGGAACCACTGATTTATATTACAATATATATATACAGTATCTATCCACACTAACCAGAGCAGTTCCCACTGACCTTGGTGGTGATGGTGAGCTGGGTGATGATGACTGCGACAGGGTTGGAGTACTTGGACAGCTTCCTGGTGCTGGACAGCTCCACCACCTCCTCGTAGGTGTCAGTAGGATAGGGCAGCAGGGGTTTGGGGTCTCCAAGGCACTGTATCAGGGGCTCGATCTGATAGAAGTCAGCCTCCTTCCTGAGCAGCTCAGTCTCCTTGAAGTCGCACGGCAGCGTCAGCTCCGACGTCCGCAGGAAGTTGAGGATGTAGCTGAAACAGCAAAAACAGAAACAAGATCAATTCAGACTGCTGAGCTGATGATTCTGTTAAGACTCTAAGCTGTCAGTTAAAGTCAGGGCGGGAGGGAAGAGAGCTGCCGTATGACTTCAGAGTGAGAAAAGTTTATTCCAGTTTTTCTGACATTTGTGTTTCGTCTTTATTCTCAAAATGTCACCTCTCTCTTATAAAGGACAGGGCTTGTTTTATTCTATATTTTTCTTAGGTTGTACAAATCCCATGAAAGACCAAAAGCAACAATGCTGTAGTCCGTCTCTCAGTACTATCTGACTTCACTACCCCGTCTGTATCTCTCAGTCCCAAGGTCACTGATTCCCACTGAAGATGTTAATCTTTAAAAACATCTCACAAATATGCAGTTTAGAAAGGTTCAGTAATTCCCTAAAACACTGTAGTGTTTACCAAACATAACTCAAACAGGATGAAATAGTGCATCTGTGGGGGGCTATTTTCAGTGGTGGATTAATCCACATTTAGTGCTCCAGTAAGTATTTGGGGAAACAGGATGTTGTGTGTGGGACTGAGTCAAAATATGCTACATTGTGTGTGTTCATGGTAGGCTTGGGTGGTGTGATTTTCAATCCCATCAAAAATATAGATGCTCTTATTTCTATTAAACTGATACTGAGATGCTGTATTGAAGCGATGTATTGCAGTGCACAACATACGCCACGAGAGGTCACTCTCTACTGGTGGAACAGGCAACTAAGCTGAGAGAGACGGCAACTGTAGCCCTTTTTATACAGAGATCGAGCTATTGGACAACAAAGTCTCTTCTTTATGCCACCTTTGCATTTTTACACAAAACCAAATAAGGATGACATCATTTTGCTTCTGTGTGTGATTATAGAAGGCACCCCAGGATTGCAGAATCAAGAAGAGTGACGGGCGTGACATGTAACACCGCAGTGTCGGCCTCTAGTGTAACAGAAAACTTTATAAACAATAACAATGGCAAAACATGGCAAAAACAATCATTTACCGTCCTTGTTATATGGCGGCTGATGTTGTTCTCTGCTTGGAGGGTAAGGAACTCCCGAAGGTCATTGTTTCCCAATCTGGGGACATTTAAGGTGGCTGTTCTTTGAATTAGCTGCTAACTGCTAACAGCTACTTTTTAAAATCTCCTGTGGTGAGTCGCACACAAACCATCACATCTGTCCTGCCCATTGTCCTGTCCTGATGGATGTTCTGTTAATACAGACACTGTTTTGGCACTGTTGCTACCTCTGTGGTGGCTTAAAGACGAGACCACTCTGTCTACCTGTTTTGTGATTGTACCTTATATACACCGTGGCGAGGCGGCCTTGGACAGGCAGTGTAAAAGGGCCTACAGTGTTTGACAAACACACTGATAATCACTGTAACGTGTACAGCTTCATTATAGTGTATTGTTTTCCCAATTTGCAGACATTTACGGCTGCTGTTCTTCTTCGAGTTAGCTGCTAACTCCTAACAGCTACTTTTAAAATCTCTCATGGTGGGTTGCAAACATAACACTCTGTCAAAACTTCACACCTGTCCCGCTGGCTGTCCTGTTTATACAAACACAGTTTCTGCGCTATTAAAACCTCTCTTGGCGGATTAAACAGAAGACCACTCTGTCCCCGCATTCTATGATTGTATCTTATATAGAGCATGAAGAGGTAGCATATTCCCGCCTTCAACAGGCAGTGTACAAGGGACTTGTGAATGTTGGGGATAATGTTACAGGACTAGTAAAAAAAGAACAATTCCTCTGCTCCTGTTTTGGAGTATTGCCACAAATAACTTTATTCTTAGACTTCTTTCAAATACAAAAGCAGTTTCTTAGCCATGTGATTTTATTCAACAATGGTAGCACTCTATGGCACAGAGGAAGATGCAGTGCTTTTTAGTAGATACATTCATTGTTGGTTTGGTCTTCACACTGGATTGAGGAAGAGGTTTCATTATGCAACATTTTGCACGTCACAAACTTACTATCACAAAGATAATCAGAATAGAATAGGTACTTAAACTAAACTAAATAACATGTGATTCATTTGATCAACTAGTGGCAGATTTTACTACATGGACACGAAGTCATGCACACTTACCGAAACAGCGGGCCGTCACGGTCGATGAAGTAGTTACCGTGTGCGTCTTTGACGGTGGGGAGGTCTCCTCGAAACATGGCTCCCAGCATGGAGTCTGGGTAGCGCTGCAGCGTAGACAGCGACGTGCTGTATATGCAGCCGCCCACATTCAGAGTCACTGGCTCCCCCATCTGGATAGAGAAGAAACAGGAGTCAGAGACGACACTGAAGGCATGGGTTGTGAAATCAAACTTATCTAGTTGACCTCTGGAGCACACACCTGACACCTTTTATCCTCATTGTAATGTGTAAAATAAATAAAACCAAATCTGATATCATACACAACACTGCCTCTGTTTTTATCTGAATATATTTACATCTCAACCAGTGCAGCACATTTTCAAGTAGGCATTACTTTAAATGAATCCACCACATATTTGAAATCAAAACTGTGAATATCTTGACTAATGCCTGGTTCACACTACACAACATTTTGTCTGTCTCGACAGTCACTATGTCAGATCAGGCGATTGTGGAGTCATGAAATCATGCCATGACTTGGTCAACAGACCACATGTTGGTTTGCCTTCAATCGTCCTTGGTCGTCTTTCATGACGTGTGTGATGTCATCATTATTCTTGTCCCATTTTATTATTATGACTATTATTTCAGTCACTGTGTCTCTTCATGTGTCAGCCAAAATGTTACTGTAGTAACGTAAAAAGTGCCACCAGATGGCAGGAGCTACATCTGAAGTAACATATGCAAACTTTGCAAGTCACTGAATACTCCACAACAAGTTCCTGTAAATGTGTCACAATAAAAGTCCGTTTAGAAAATAAAGAGATTCTCTCAACCAAAATTATAAGGGACTTTTAATGCACAACAGATACAGGAAGTGTTGAGTTTGAAATGACGGCGCGATGGATTAACTTTATCAAGGCAAACGGGAGCAGATTAAATGTAAAAATATGATAAAAATACAGAGGGAATAAGAATATAGGCCAGTTTATAATGTAGTCTGTTTCATATGAAGGTGGTAGCCTCTGCAGTTGTGGTGAGTAAAATTCCTGCCACTATTTTTGAATTTTATTCCTGTATATCCTCCATTATGAAGAAATAACTTTCTTTGCTAGCTTGATGCTAATGGCAGTACTCACCAGGTTGGTAAAGTGCCTCTGCTGTTTCATGCCATCATTTTTTCCTTTTTCACTCTATGTGGTAACATCCCCAGAGAAAATATCAAAAACTCTGGGGTTTTGTTGCCACACAGTTGTCTACAGCAGCAGATCGCTCTGTGTTTCTAATAGCCAAAGTGACAGCTGGAAACATGCTAGACTTTTTGTTGGGACGTTGCGAGGCATCCCAGATGCTGCGTCGGTTGTCATCCACTATGACACACTACACCAGATGAGAAAATGGACTATCGCATACAACACTCATTGTCATTCACAATCCAAGCCGACACTGTACGACGCTGTGTCGGGCAATAATCAAACTGATATTGTGTAGTGTGAACCCACCATAAAGAAATTCTGAAAACTAGATGCATTTCATAGCGTAAATCTTAAACATTAAAACAAAATGCTTAACCAGAGCCATTAAAACTGAACAATCCAATAACGATACACTGCACTGTCACTGGAGCCAAAACTGACCTCATCAAGCAGACTGGGTTTCAACGCTCAAACAACTATTTGAAGGTCCTTGCAAAGATGACAGCCATACACACACACACACACACACACACACACACAGCAGCAGCACAAAAGCATGTGCCATCATTCAAATGTCAGACATAGTCCAACTGGCCAAAGGCTGAACTGCCAGGAATCAGGACAGTTCACACAGAAAAATGTCTGCAGCAGAAACAAACACACACAGACACACACAGACACACAGACACACAAACACACACACACCATGTGACCCAGATCTCCATTCTCCATCTGCAGCCCTGCGCTGGCTTTTTTCTCTTCAGGTCAGACTGTTGAGACGATCATTTCCACCAACACCTGCAACAAGAGGACGGACAGCTTGTGAGATGGTTGCCATGGAGATTAGCAGCCAGCTGATGCTGCGTTGCCATGGTCCAGACATCATCTGGCTGATTAGTCTTGTGTCCCTGATGTGACTGCCAGCCAGTGTGAAACAGGAGGAGGAGCTGTGGACCCCACACAGCATTTTAATGAGCTGTGATTGAATCGTACATCACAAATCTGACTCGGCTGAGGTTAACGGTGTTGGGAATCTCTAGGTACAGCTCTTAATTTTCATTTTAATTCATCATGCTGCAAATTGAATACAAAAGATTCTCAATTCACTGACTTTTTAAGAAAGGATCAAAATTCATGCAGCAGAAGCAGAGACATTTTTACTGCATGCAGCCTTCCTCATGAAAACCAGGCCCCATGATAGTCACTCAGTCTTGCAGCAATTCTTTTCCCAGTGGCCACTCATGGTATTGCAGCAAAAAAAAAAATCCCCCACCACAGCCCAGGGAGCATTTTCCCCATAGACCACCACTGTAAAAGAGACATCCGTAAAAACGTTGACAGGACACCGTGAACTGCAGATAAGGTCAACTATGAATATTTCTATTCTTTATATTTGTAAAAGTTTCCTCAAGCTAAGAAAAGTTAAAATTTTTAAAATCTGTGACATCATTACAATATCAAGTCTATGAGTCGTGCAGGACCTCACAAGTGGGGCAAGCAGGAAAAACATTTCTGCGTACATATGATTAGGCGCCATCTTGGCGACCGGTATCTAGTTATTATTAACTTATTATACTTCCATCCATTCATTCATTCATTTCCATCTGCTTTATCCGGGGCCGGGTCATGGGGGCAGCAGGCCAAGCAAAGCACCCCGAACGTCCCTCACCCCAGCAATGCTTTCCAGCTCCTCCTGGGGGACCCCGAGGTGTTCCCAGGCCAGATGAGATATGTAATCCCTCAAGCATGTTCTGGGTCTGCCCCGAGGCTTCCTACCAGTGGGACATGCCTGGAACACCTCCAACGGGAGGCGCTCCGGAGGAATCCTGATCAAATGCCTGAACCGCCTAAACTGACCCTTTTCGACGTGAAGGAGCAGCGGCTCTACTCCGAGTGTCCTCCGGATGTCTGAGCTCCTTACCCTATCTCTAAGGCTGAGCCCAGCCACCCCTCTGAGGAAACTCATTTCAGCTGCTTGTATCTGCGACCTCATTCTTTCAGTCACTACCCAGAGCTCATGACCATAGGTGAGGGTTGGGACATAAATGGATCAGTAAGTGACATCACTCGAGGCAATTTATCAGTTTTTAAAAAGCTCTCTCTGAAGTTGAAAAAGGCTTTGCACAATTTGTTTTTTTTTTTTTTTTTTTTACATATGCAGTGGCCCTCCCGCAGACCTGTGCACAGATTTTCAAACATAAAATCAATGGAGTTTCCCTTTAAATAATCCTCAACATAATAACATTTGTTACCTCTTGGTCTCATTAACTGTTGTCTTTATCTATGGAGGAGCTATAATCAATATTTTTAAAATAACAACCAACAAAGAATTATCACCCTAGTCTGCTTTAGAGCTTTATAGCCTCTTTCAGCTATAAATCACAGCTACATTGTTTTTTGGTTTTCCAGCTTGCAGCTTCGCAGTTTTGAGCCGGTCTCACTGCTCTCATCGACAGCAGCTGTTTTCAATCTATAAACTAGTATATTAAAAAATCTGATTGAGGAATTTTGTGTATTGATGCTGAATAAAGAAGTGTTTAAATTCAATCCTAGAATCATGTGATCACATGTACAAATGATGCATGAGCTAACTGGTTATAGCATTTGGGGTGCACTCAGACATGAACAAATGAAGGCAGAATAAAAAGCAGACCTGCAGGTACCTTTACAATAAAGGGTAACATGGTAAAGTCTATGGAACTGATGGTTGCAAAACATTAACTCTATCACAGCTGAAGACATTATTATATCAGACATGTGGACTTGTAAGCAGAAGAGCTCGATCCATTCTGACAAATGGATAAATTAAATCAGATAAATGCTTGCAGCAATTAAAACCTCATAAATTCAATTTAAAAACTATTTAATGACTACAAAGGCCTAATATTTCTGAAAATGAATTTGATACTGTTTAAGGTCCTGCAGACACACTGAGGAAAGCAAGCCCTTTGTATTTTAAAACTGTTTTATGCATGAGGTTCACAGTAAACACTCTGGGTTATGATCCAGCTAAATGTCAATAACTCTGACCTTTTGCAGGTTGTTGCTATGACAACGGTTCCAGATATAGTTAAGGCAGTTTCAGGGAACCAAAAAATCCAGACTCATGTCAAAGAGCACATTATAACAACATGTAATAATCATGATAACTCTGATATCCAGGTATGAATAACGGAGCGCAGTGTGTTGGTCCACCTGTACAATCCAAACACAGCTGTTGTTGACTCTGAGTCAGATTATTTAAATGTGGTCATTTCAGATGCTGCGGTTTGGTGATGCTTAACTGGACTGCGTCATATTGTAAAATGTTTTTACTGTTTGTCCACATAATATTAATACATGGGGTATGACGTTAGAAACACCTGGAGGCGATGATAACCTGAGATAATTATCTTAACACTGCTTTCTCTCTCCGTCTGAATGAAGCTAACGTCGCTGCGGTTAACGGCAGTTAGCTCGTTAGCTACTTAGCATTATGATGTGTTTACAAAGAAGACGTCACTTTAACAGAGTGAATTACATTTTAAAATGTCAGTCCGGTCTTACCTACAGCGGCTCCATCACTACTGCTTCAACACGACACGCAGGTGGAGGTAAACGCTCCTAACTGGCTAACACACTCATTTACATTCATCAGTTACAGCTCTGTCAGGTCAGACAGTGAATGTCGCGAGATTTCCGGTATAACCTTTCAAAATAAGACCGAGAAGTTTTGGTTTTTTTGTTGCCAAATATAATCATATTTCATCCTCAATAAAAGAAATACAGTTTTATTTAATCTGTCCTGAGAAATAATGTTTTTGTTAATATATATTTTTCTTAATTTTATATTTATGAAGCCACATTATTAAATTCGTTGAGAGTATTCGTACTTTGGATTGTTTAAGATAAGGGACTGTTCTTTACTTAACAGAGGAGGAGGTGGCTGAGGTGTAACTTTTTTTATTTTTATTTTTTTTACCCTTCCTGAAGATACAAATATCTTTCTTTGAGCCTCCCTAAGTGACTGGGGGAAATACATGACCCTCCCTCAACCATATAGTTATTACATTTTAAAACTTAGAGACAAAACTAAGACAAAATCCTGGAATTTCAAGAAGCCCTGGGTTTTAACTCTCAACATGCATGCTGGTAAGTTTGTGCCAACGGCTTATTTTTGACAAAATTTTAAATGAGACACGTTGAATAAAGTGATTTTGATTAACTATTACTATTAAAAGCTTAGATTTTTTTTCTGAAGAAAGCTTCCTCACACATGATGTATTCTGGCTATGGTAAATGGTATAATTTTGACAGTTTTTAAAGAAAAAAAATACAAAATGAAGCCATTAAAAGTTGTATACCCCTCCCCTTAGTCAAAATAAAAAACATAAGTCGCTATTCTGTGCTGAAAAAATGATTTGACATGCCCCCATCCCCCATTTGCAGCACCCTCTCTCTCCTCATAAATAACAAACAGTCCCTAAGACCTCATTTATCTATTTTTTTAGTTAAATATATTAATATTTCATCTACAATTGACATAAATACTCTTTTATTTTATCTGTATGGAGAAATAATGTATTTGGGTTTTTTTTCCTTAATTTTATCTTTATGAGAAAACATTATTGAATTATGGTTTATTCCTCTTGTTTTTATTCTCAACTTTAGATGGAGTTGGGAGTATTTGTACATTGGATTGTTGTACTATAACTGTTTTGTAGGTAATATTTTAAAAAAACAAAATTGCAAATTGTGACACAATAAATTTCATTTCCTAACTTGGAAGTTTAAATGCTGTTTCAAAGCCAGAAAAAAATACATTTGTTGTTAAAAAAAAAATGGTTAAAACCCTCAAATCCCAAGAAAAAAAGTAACTACAACTTCGAAGTGACCTTAAAAAACAACCAATGTGTCTTCTAAGAACAGCAATAAAAATAGTAGACATTTTTCTTTAGTGATGTAAATCCTCTGTTAATTAATAATCATTGTTTATGGTTAATTAATTGACAATTAAATTACTTTTATAGTAGTTTGCATACTACTAAAATTAGTGTAGTGTGTAATATTTTAATATAAAATATTGTTGGGTATTTCAGACTTAATTTCTTAAGTATTATAAGAAACATATTGCTGTCATTATAACCCTGCATACTTATCGTGCATATCTGTGTATAGATTCACTGTATGGATACTTTCACAAATAATCTATGCAACACCAGTAAAGCGCTTTAATAGGGCTGTATCTTAAATATTATTTTCGTTATTGATTGATTATTTTGCCTGTTATTTTCTAATATTTCTATTTCTTATGTTTAAAAATAATAAAATATTCAGTTTACAATGAAAGGCAGAAAATCACATTACAGCTGGCTTTTTTCTATACTTGCTTAAGAAATGAGGTAAACAGTAAATCGATTATCAATATTTTTCTTGTGAACTAACTGTAGTCTTTAGTTCTGGTGAGATTCTGGTTTCGTATGTTTTGTTTATTATGTGTAGGCCGATATTTATAGTTTGAGCATGAATCTGTGTGGGGACCGGTAGTGTCTACCTCCCACCACCTGGGGGCGCCAGCAACGTGTCTATTACCATAAACACGGAAACTATATTGTTTATTAGAAGCTTCATCCTGTTGGTCACAGCTTCTCTGTTTTCACTCTGCCGTGGAGCTGATCATACTGAAAGGATCCGTCTTTATTCTGTCTGCGCTGCTTTGTTATATTAAACAAACGTTTCTGTTCACATCGTTCAAAGTGTTCAGGACAGTTTAACTTTAAGCATCAGCCCGGAGCTCCTGCTTTTATTCTGGCGGGCTCCGGTGTTAGCTCGTCCCGTTAGCCGCTGCTCCGCTGCTCGGTGGACAGTGATGACCGCTGAGACACTTTTTCTTTCTGCGCATTTCGACTGTTGATTAAAACCGGAGAGCCTCCGTTCATCATGGCGAGTGAAAACACCGAGACCAACGCGGGGAACGAGGAGGAAACTGGTCCTCCATCCGAGACTAACGAGCACGACTATGCCCACACCGAGGCCACTAACTTAACTTCCACGGAAGCATCCTCCCCCTCGGGAGCACCGGCGGCGGACGAAGGAGTCTCCGCGCAGGAAAGCTTCACCACAGCAGCCGAACCTGAACCTGAGCCCGAGCACAGCACACCGGGGCAGCCCACCCTGCCGGTGGAGCTTCCCGATCCGGCTGTGGGTGCGGAGGTGGACTGCCCCGGCGGGCATGATGTGGTGGTGTCTTTTCCGCCGCAGACCGAGGAAAACCCTCCAAAGGCAGACCCCTCTCAGTATGCTACAGCCGTCGCCCCCGCTATGCGAGGCGGCCGGCGGCGTCCCAAGCGGCCCGAGGACCGGAGCTGCTCCGCCTGTAAGTCTGAGTTCGAGCGGCAGGGCCGCAGCTTCAACCGGAGGGCGGTGTACACCTTCTCCAGCCCGGAGACTGTGCAGTGGGCCTTCCCGGACGCCGTAGTACACGAAAAGTCGTTCCTGTGTGAGACCTGTGCGCAGGTCATCAGGAGCAAATGCAAACGCAAACAGAGCGGGAAGCGGACCCTGTGGCTGAAACCGCCCCAGACTAAACAGGTGTGTGTATGTGTGTGTATATTAGGGATGCAGAACGGCATGAGATTATCACGGTACAGTAACCGCCTCAGAAAATATCGCGGTTTCACAATATATTATTATCAGCCAAAGCTGAACAAATATTTTATCAATAGAACTGAAACTTGAAACCATTTTGAGAATGGAAATATGTGTAAAAAGTATTTGAAAATAACTAAAATAAAGAGGAGAGCCAATATCGAGTTACATTTATCCTCTTGAGACCCTGTGTCCTCATGAGGACATCACATTTTGGGTTTTCTTGACCTTTACACTTAATTTTTCTTAATTCAGACCTGTTGTCCTCATTCGTGGAAACTTTTTGTGCCGTCTAGAGGTAGTAAGGACACAATACACCAATCCATGTAAAAACAAGATGGCAGCCATCTCTGCCAAGTCAGTCTGCAGCCGATCTTGAAATAAAAGTGGACAAGGTCCAAAACCTGATCACATGTTATGGTTGAAACTTGTTTATTTATGTTTGTAGTTTGATATGGCAACAGATTTGACCAATTGAAGCAACAGTAACAACATCAGTGTCGCACTGTTAATTAGGAAGTACTCGTTTGAGGACATCAGGATTTAGTTCCGTCTGATCCCAAATAGCTAGGTCAAATAAAAAATGCATACCAAACAAGGGTTCGGGACTCGGGAGGATAGAAGCAAATGTACATGGTAAGATAACCGTGAACTTCAACTGTCAACAGTATACCTTGAAACTAGTACATCGCTGCAACCCTAGCGTGTTTGGCACTATCGCGATATACAGTGGTATCACAATAGAGGCGATTCTGCCACATAAGCTTTAGATTGTCTCTGCACTGCACCATTAATGTTCTCAAGTCACCTTGTTAGGTGATAACTTCCTGAAAAACACAGACATTTGATCTTGTTTTAAATGTATTTCCAGGATCCTCATTTACTTTTCTGTCCATATGAACACATAATATATCTGTCTGTTTTTCTAATTGCAAAGCTACTTCTTATCTCTTAGATGAGATGTATTAAAATATTAAATGATGTAAAGTATGAAGGAAAATACCAAATGATGACATGTTTTGGCTTACATGATACAAGTGAGGAGACATGTCACCTGGTTACCATCTTTGTTTGGATCAAGAAATAATACTCAGAAGCACTGATGATGATCATGTTTTACACACCTGCATTAAGAGTGTTTGATGTTTTCTCTTTGTGTCCTTTGTGTTGGTGACTGCAGGCAGAGTTGAGAGACAAGAAGCTGAAAGGTCGCAGGATGGGGAAGAAGAGCAAAGCAGCTCAGCTGGTGAGCAAGTCCTGCTACAAGGCCGCTTTCAAAATGCTCTGGTCTGCTAAAGGTGCCCGGAAGCCCATGATGGAGTTCTGGAGCAAACAACTGAAAGAGGAGGTGAGGACAGAGGCTGCTCCTGGTTGATACACGTGTTGGTCAGGACAAACATATCATAGCACTAGTTTTTTAATTATTATGTAATGATGGTATTATGTGTTTCCTGGTGGGGGTGCAGATGAAGGCGCTGACACGGCAGACAGACAATCCCTTCCATCAGAAGGTGGTGAGCAGAAAGCCACTGTCATCCTTTCCCTGGCGGCGCTGTCTGAACTGGGCCCAGGACCACGCTCCTCTTGTCACCACCTGCCTCACCTCGCTGTTCCCTGACATCAGTTCTCTTTCAAAGAGTGGCCAGTAAGTCTGAGTGAGGACACACTGGTGCTCAGAACAAAGTTGAGGAATCCTGCTGGTGCCGATAGTTCCTTTTAGTTTTTTCAATGATACACTGAAACCTCATCATGGATCTGTAGGCCTAAGTCTTACCGTACGTGATCAGCGATCTGATGACTGTTCTGTTTGTTTGTGTGGCAGCCCGCTGTCGGAGGACCAAGCCCAGGCGTTGCTGGAGCGCAGGGCCGTGGTGGCGCTCTCCATCCCTCTCTTCACCAGGAACATCTGGAAGAACAACTTCCTGCAGGCAGCTCTGGGGGCAGAGCTCCGGCTGCAGGGCTGCTCTGGTGCTGCTCTTGACGCCCTCAACACTATGGGGCTGTGTCAGAACAAAGACACCGTCAGGTTGCTGCTGCACAGGCTCCGAAACAGCAAGAAGACGGTGAGTATCATGATAAGCAGTGCTGATAATGAAGAGATCAAAACTAAAATAATTTCTCATTAATACTCCTCAAATACAAAAATAGATTTGTCTGTTTTAAAGCGTCACTGCCCTCGTTCTTCTATGCATCCTTTTTGATGCCATACATACAGCCGATGGAGGGCACTAGAAGGCAGAGTCCAAAGTTTCAGACATCAAACATGGTGATGGTGGAGGTCGTAATGTACCTTTTAATGGAGGCAGCATTATAGCTTGTGGTGGATTGCGAGACTGTTAAATATGTCACATCACGTCAGTGGAGAATTCTTTTCACTATATTACCAATTTGTTCCGTTCTGCCATATTTTAAATTTCTCTGGCGTGACCTACACTAGTGTTCCCATGATCTCTGGTGATACTGCTCCATTTCATTTGTATCTGTAAGCTTTGAGAAAATGTGCACAAATACAGACAAATGCAGAGTACGCACAGAAGGCCACATCTGTGTTTGTATACAAGTCTAATGTTGAGCAGAAATGAGCCCTAAATCAGTCAGAAGAAAACATGACTCGTTTCTAACTTTGTGCTCTGTTCCTGTCAGGCAACACAGAACGGACGACAGATGAAGATGAAACCGGAGCAGATGAAAGGAGAGGATATGACAGACGTGGAGGAAGAAGATATCGAGGAGGAGGACGAAGAGGAGGAGGAGGAGGAGGAAGAGGAGGAAGAAGAAGAGGAAGAGGAGGATGACGATGACGACGAAGAAGAGGAGGAGGAGGAAATGGAAATGGTGGTAGAGGAGGAAGAAGTGCAAGAGGTAGAAGTGCAGGTTGGAGTGGATGAGGAGGAAGCGGAGGATCAATCAGTGGAGGAGAAGAAGAGGAGGAGGAAGAAGGCGAAGAAGCAGAGGAAGGAGGAGAAGAGGAAGGAGCGAGGGAAACGAAAGGTGAAGGAGAGGGAGGAGGTGGACGAGGAGGAGGATGACGGGTCAGAGCAGAAGAAGAGGAGGGTGGTGGTGGTGAGGCTCGGCCTGCTGAAGGGACACTCGGAGGTTGGACGGTCCGACCTGTCGGCTCCTTAAGACTCTGAAGGCTCCGCCCAAGAACTCCACAGGCCCCACCTTCAACCAGAGAGCAGGACAGAGGTCCCGCCCTTTTCGCTGGGGGATGTTGAGAGGGATTCTGGGTATCGTAGGTCAGTAACTGTGGAGGGAAACTGAGAGCTTTACTTTCAAATTTCATTTTGACATTAAAAAAAACAAACAGTTTGAGTCAGAAATGAGTTAATGTGAGTCCAAAAAACACAGAACTGCTCCACTGAGACTGAGACATGAACACAACACCCCCAGCTGATTGATCATGTGATTATCTGCATTAATTTTACCCCAGATGGTCGCGTGTATCAAGTTAGACGAATCCTCTTCCACCTTCCGTACATGATGATTGCAGCTTCCAACCTAAATATTTTGGTAACATTTTGTTTAACAGGTCCCAGAGTTTCCTTATAATCTACTAGAAAGGAACTGGTATGGAATTTTCAAATTTAAGAAAGGTTTCTGGACAGAACTACGCAATTTGGTACCAACTGTAGGAACATATGATGGGGTGAAAGAATTACTTTGGGTTAGAGATGCACAATAATATCAGCACGTCATCGCATGTTATATTATGAATATTAGCTACATTTAAAAGCATTGTATTTCAAGTCTCCATCTGCTGGTGGGCCATCACGATAAGAGTGTTCATGTCTAATATGACGTTAATTCCACTACAAAAGAGACGATCACTAAAATTCAGTGGGGAAAAATTGGATACATTAATATCGGTATTGGTTATTGGTCAAATGAGTTGTTACATATCGGCAAAAAATCCCAATATCATATACCCCTACTTGGGGTCAAGATGAAGGGACATTTGTCGTAATGTTACAAGAATACTTCCCTAATTTCGGAGAATAAAGCCACAATTTCACATTAAAAAACCTCAATATTATAATAACGAAGTTGCAGTTTTTCAAGAAAAAGTCGTTATAATTCGGAAATAATTTCTGAATTTATTTTTACGTTTTTGCAACTGTTAACGCCACAATTTACGAACAGTTAAATGACTTGAAAGAGGTTAATTTTCCTCTGGAAAACTGGGAACTGTCGGTGTGTACTCTCAGAATATTTCTGCAGAGTTAGTACCAAATTGCCTTTGGTGTATCTTTACCCCAAGACCTTAAGAGGAGAAACCCACAACTCCACCTGGGGGTGAACTTTACATGTCATAAATATGAAGTGGAGAAAAATGCAGTTGTAGCAGTTGGGAGCAGACACCAGTAAATCTCTGTAAATGTTTAAATATGTGACAGGTGGGTTACAGTTGAGGGACGAGCAGCAGCAGGAGCAGTCAGTCCTGTCCTGTCCTTAAAGGGTAACTTTGATATTTTTCAAACTGGGCCCTATTGTGTCATGTTTTTGTGAGTGATGGATGGGATCAACCATTTTTGAAACTGGTCCAGTATTGAGCGAGTGTGCTGCAGCCAGCAGAGGCAAAATGAATGAGAGATGTAATCCCTGTGGGCATTTGAGCACCTTCAATTTACGTCTACTAAGCTGACAGACTCGGATTATTATTACAAGTGTCTGACAACATTTTGGAAAGGATTCCTACAGAGAGACACCGTTTGTTAAAGAGTAAAAGCCTTTGTGTTTTGTCAAGCCCTGTTTCATCAAGCAGTTCAGTTCAGCTCGGTACGCTTTTTTTCTGTTTCCACTGTGAAAAGTTGTGGATGGTACCAATAGCACTGGTCTGTACGTCCCCATTTTTGGTCCCCCCTCTGTTGGGGTACCTAGCACACAGATATGGTACTAAAAGGTGGAGCTGTGAACACTGCAGTCTGATTGGTCAGTAGAGGACGGTCACTCTGCTCAGGGCTGAGATGTGGCTGGTTTTGAGGCTCATGTAACCGCTGTTCATACTGTGGAGAGTTTTATTAGTAAACTGTAACTATAAAATGGAAGGATGTTTTGCTGCCTCTCACAGCAGCTGGAGTCTGAGAGAAAATAAATTAAGTGGGCCGACTGCCGGCGACTTTTAAGGTGGAACGTTAACTTGTAATGTTACTCAATGCATGAGGTGACGACTTGAATCCATCAGCACACCTTAAATTTCACTGTGACAACTTTGACCATCACTTTAGTTCTTATCATCTCTCTTGGATGACATACACTTTAAGTAATTAGTAATGAGTGGATCTTCAAGTGTTAAAAGATGTTTGTGAGTTTCGACCTAATTATGTGAGCTTGCCTTGATTTGTTCTGAAAATGTCGACGTGCAGACTGATAAAGGAGGTAATACAGTGAGTGCTGGACGGAGCAGTGAGTGACAACAACCCTGCCCACAGACTCCATTTAAATAAAATGGGGCAGTTTCTGGTACAAGAATAAGGATCTTGCTCTTCAACTAAGAGGTCAGACACTTAAAATAACAATCTGAGCTCATCACTGTCAAAACAAACACTTTTAGTGGACATAAATTGACGGTGCTCAATAACCCACAGGGATTACAATGCTTGTTTTGCTACTGCTGGCTGCAGTTGTCTCACTCAATACTGGACCAATTAAAAAACTGTTGACCCCAATAGTCAGTTAGAGCCTGGTATTAACATGCGTTTTCGGTGGTCCAATCACAAGTGGACAGCCCTAAATACAAATGTAAACGACTGCCAAGGTACATTACAGAGGCAGAGGGAAAGGGTCCAAGCTAAACAATACCAAAGTTACCCTTTAATGTTTTTCCAGCTGCTGGGTGATCAAGGTCATCAGGAGGGAGATAGTGATTTATTTTCTAATTCTGATTAGGTTCTAAATTTCTTTTTTTCCAGCTTTCAGTTTTGGGTTCCTCGGCAGGACTCTGACACAAAGTAAAGAAACAGAAAACGGTTTGATTTTCATTCTGAACACTGTGGACGTCCTGAACTGTGGAGGATGTTTATAGACTGAAGATGTGCATTTCTATGTTTGAAACGGTTAAAGCGGAGCGGAGGCACACCTGAGAAAAGGACCTGGACTTAATCGCTTTGTTTTTTTTTTTGTTTTTTTTTATTGTTTGTTTGTTGGCTGTAGTGAACCCATCAGAACAGAGTCATGGCTTCAGTAGGCTCATCTGACGCACGCCGAGGCCTTTATGCTGCGTTCACGTCAAGTTTCTGTGATTACAGTTGGTCATGTGAGGGTTAAAAATACTGTCCGTTGACAATATCAAACTATAAACATTAAATAAAACAGACTTTGACTGACGATAGGTGTCCATGTAAGTTTGGCTTTCAGACACTTGCAAATTATTAAGCACCTGCTATATCAAAGATTTCAGAAAAATCAGTTTTCTAGTCATCATGATCCAGACGTTCACTTTAATGCTTTTTACAAGTAATACAACTGTTAATTACAATAACAGTAACAGTAGTGTGGAGAAACAAATAGATACGACTCATTTGTGAACTCTGAGGAAAATTGTGAACTATCTGAGATAAATCTTGTCAAAAATCTGATTTAAAAAATGACTAAAATCAGACTTTCCTTGGAATTCAGAAACTGAATGTTTTCTTTGTAGTGCTTTATTTTATAGTCTGTAATTTCCCTAATAATTTAACTGAAATGACTGTAATGTAATGTGGTATAATTACAGTGAAAACAGTGTTTAATTTAACCCTTTGAAACCCCTTTAAAAAACATGGGTAAAAGGCAATGAAAGAAAAAATTAGCGAAAAAATTAGCAAGACATACCGTAAGTAAAAAGAGAAAATTAAGAAAATTAGTAAAAAAATAAATAAAATAAAAAAAGTTAAAGAAAAGTAAAAAAAAAAAAAAGTGTAAAAAGTGCTTAAAATTTTAATAATTTTGCATTATGATGTTAAAAACTATAAATCTAGTTTTTCCCTAGTTTGTCTTTTTAAATAATTTTCTATCTTTTTTTTTCTTTCTTTTTTACAATTTGTGGGAGATTTCTTACCAAGTTGCTCATTGCCTTTTTTCCCATGTTTTTTTTTTTTTTTTTTTTTTTTTTTTACTGCAGCAATTTGCAAAAGGTTCAAAACTTAAAATACTTGTGAAGGTGTCTGAAATCAGCACAAGACAAGTGATGTCGCTCCAGGTTTCAAAGGCTTAAATACTTTGAATCCTGGCTCATGTATCAATGTCAGCCGGACATGGGAGAAGAACATGGAAGTGAAACTTGTCTACAGACGTATGGAGATAAAAGTCTCCACTTTTGTCCTATAATTAGAACCAGATTACAAAGTTCCTTCTGAGAAATTATCAGGAAATTAAGGAGCCCTTAAAATAAAGTGTTAAATGATCCTTTTCTGTGGTTTGAATAATTCCACCATCTGTAAAAACGCAGCCATACGTTTCTCTCCTGGTTAGAAAAAGATGAAATGGAAGTTTCTGAACTGGGAGGTGCTGTAATATAGTTTTGATTTGTAACAAGGGTTTGTTCTTTGAGTCTCTCAAAGCGTCTTATTTTTTTATGTGTTTGATTGGAGGAGGATGGAGAGATGTGTTTTCTGACTGTTGGTCTCAGATCTGATGTTCAACCAGTTGAACCAGTCTGACGCAAAACTTCCTGTAAAAGTTTGCCAATAAAACATTTAAGGCTTCAACTCTCTCGTTCAGTTCGCAATTATTTTTTGTAATAAGTTTATTTGCCCTTATGGAAAAGGTGGAATGTAACTGAGGACACATTTAACTTAAGTTTAACTGAAGTACTGTAGATTACTTCAGTTTTTAGACACTTGTGTTTAGGAGAATAAAAAATGGACTTCTGGCACTTGTGCATGGAGCAGGAACAAATGCACCTGAATTAAGTTAAAAAAAAAAAGCCTTTGTTAAAAAAAAACCCATTGCTGCTTACATTAAAACACTGACCGGTTTCTACCCTAAGGTTTTCATCAGGGTGCAGGAGAGTCCCTGGAGTCCCTTTTTAACCACATTAAAAATACTTTTTTTTTTACTTTACTGAACTTCTTTTGGCACATGCTCGATTTTACCATGTCCCCAGTGCAAAGTAATCAACCTCTACAAGAACTATAACTCATATCACTCTAAAAATATTTTTTTATTTTATAGGCCATTGTAAACTCATATATATATATATATATATATATATATATAATTTTAAAACAATTTTTCATGATTTACTGTGTCCCTCAAGTCATTTTCACCCTGTTAAATGTTAATTATTTTTGTCAAGAGTGTTTGAAGTTGCACCCTGTTGGGCTCAATTATTAGCAAAGTTGGTCAAAAACATGTAAGAGTCCTGTTTATATGCAATTTCATTTAACTTTTAATTTATTTAAATGAATTTAAAGAGGAAGACAGATGGGTGGGGAGAAATATTTTGTTTTTTAATTAATTTAATTTAAATTATATTTATTTTCTTGTTTAAATTTTCATTTCTATTCATATTTATTTTTTTTATTTTTGTCTCCCTTTTTCCTAACTTTGCTACTGCTGTTGCTCTTGTTCTAACTCATTCCCCCTTTTTACTACTTCATCAACACACACACGCACACACACTAATAAACACACAAAACTCCACTCAACACCCTCAAAATACATTATACCAATATGCCTGTGTTTGTCTTTTGTGTTAATTATACACCAGTCTCGTCTCCCACAGTGGTGTCCCTGTCATGGCTTTCACTTTGCTTTGTACCTGCATCACCTAATAAAATATATGAATAAAATCTGTAGGCCTGTTGAAAAAAATGTTAATGTTAGCTAGCTAAATCTGGATCACTCTCATAGCTAAGGTAAACTTAATCAACAGTTTTCCATCCTGTTAATTCTGTAGCCCAGTATACCCAAGTCAGAGGATTACCTGAGTGCTTCAGATCAGCTGATATGTTTTCCTGACAGTTAAACTTGTCACTCTTCTTAAATAATGCAAAAACATGAAAAACATCTATTTTTTTGTTGAAGTTTTAAGGCTGAAATGTTCCTGCCTATCAGAAATGATGCCTGTCTTACCCGTTATCCAGTTTGTATCTTCAAACAGTATCGTTTGTGTTGGGGATGAAGCAGACGTTTAAACCCTGACTGTGCCGTTTTTCAGCAACAGAACTGCAAACTTGGCCACGCTGCTCTCTCCCTCACTGTTTGTTACATCCACAGGCTGCAGAAACACTGGATTTAGTCAGACAGTAAACACCTGTGAGATGACGAAAACACCTTCAATGATGCATCTACAAACCAACCGATCAGACAGCAGAGGCCAATAAAACCAGCATTGTGGTGTGAAAGAATGAGCCAGCATGAAGGACTGAAAGGTTTTTATTTCTGTAACAGATTCATTTACAGCAACAAAAACATCCACAGAGCTGCTGCAGCTACAATAAATATTCCTAACCACGATCCACCTCCAGCTCTCAGGCTGGTTCGCTCGTCTTCACTGCTGCTTTTTAGAGACGAACCCGAGTCAGTGTGAGGAATTAAAAAGACTGAGTGTAATACTTTTGGTGGTTAGAAATGTCTGGGAGTTTAACAACAATAAAACTACTGGGGGTAAAAATTAAGTTTGAATTAGTCTGCAGGTCAAAATTTGAGTGCACGCAGGAGCAAACTCAGCAGTTTTGTTGTTACCAAACTTCCTCAGAAACACAGAAAAGCCTACAGGATAGAGCAACTTTTATTTTGAAAGGTAGGAAGTGGAGAGAGCAGCCAGAGCCACACAGAGTTCGGTGAAGTTTGTAGCCGACTAACAGAGGCGACGACTTGACCGAACCCTGAGTGTCCACCGCTCTGGGTGCAGATAAACAGCTGTGCGTTTCACTGACCGACAGGACGATCTGGAGCGTTTTTTTTTTCTTAAAAGGAACCGTTTGGCTGTATTTACACATGGTTCAAATGTTTTACCAGATGATGTTTCCACCGTCTGTGTGAGCAAGACAGAAAGGATTCAGGTGGGACTGTCTTGTGTGTTTCAGACATTGAGGGTCTTTTTCACAGAGAAGATGATGTCTTTGATCTGCGGCATGCTGTTGTCCTCCAGGATTTTGGCATACGGCATGGGGATGTCGACGCCCGTCACCCTGGTGACTGGAGCATCCAGGTAGTTGAAGGCAGGACCTAAAAACACACACAGGAGTTTAAACATTTATTTAAGTGTATGCCCTCAAATACCAAATGTTTTCCAAGCTCACTGATACTTCGACCCATCAAGGAGCGCTGTGTAACCAGCCAATCGCAAAACAAAAATCAATCACATTGAATGATTTTGGGGGGGTTGACCTTCATCAGGAGATACACATAGGTCACATTTTAACAACAACCAGTGAAGGCACCGCTCCAAGCAGCAACATGCCGACTGACATCTTCTGTATGTAATACACCGACTATGGATAGGTACCTCATACAACTCTACTTCAAAGATCCAAACTATTCCTTTAAGCTGTTGTCAACACGTGTAACTGTATATATTAGTCACCTCACCCACACATACACACACAGTGACAGGGCTCACTGTTAGCATCACAGATCTAACCCTACCCAACAGTTATTTAAAGGTTTAATGACAGTCGAGCTGTTTCTGTCTATAGTATGAGATTAACAGCTTGGTGTCGGATGTCTCTTTCTGTAAATGTTCTGTCATGTCTGGATGAAGCTGTAAGGAACATGAAATCACCTCCAGCATGTCGGAAAGACAAAATTCACTTTACCAGGCTGACGAAGCAGACATGCCTCATACTCTGAATCTGAGGGGCTTTGTTGTGTGTCAGCTGTTACCTTCCATGATCCTGGCGCAGATCTCAGCTCCAACCCCAAACTGAGGCCAGCCTCCCTCCACTGTCACCAGGTGGTTGGTCTTCATCACACTGGTCTCAATAGACTCCACATCCATAGGACGGATGGTCCGCAGGTTGATCACCTGACACAAAGACAGACAGGAAGTAGTTAACTAACAGGCCGCTGAGCTCTGGTCATCTGTGTCAGATAATAACAGGTGCGTTCCTTCCTCTACCTCACACTCAATTCCCTCCTTGGCGAGGACGGCGGCGGCATCCAGGCAGTGACCAACATACCGAGAGTGACTGACCATAGTGACACTCGTCCCTGAAGCACAGAGAGGACGAGAGAAGAAGAAGGAAAGAGGTGTAAGAGCACGAATCTTCACAAACCTCCTGTTTCCCCCTCCACATGTCATCACCATGTTTATGTTTGACAGAGAACACTATGTTTTTTATACCAACTATCATATCACATTTTTTTCTTCTATAACAGGAATGATTCAACATTTTGGTAAAATGCACTTATTTGCTTTCTTTCAAAGAGTAAGACCATAAAATCAACATCACCCTCATGATACTGTTCTACATGCTGCAACTATACCATCTGATACCCCCTTTTGTTTTTATCCAAAACCAAGCATGAACAAACTATTAATGATCGGGATGCACGATATATATTGAGCTGATAAATTATAGGCCGATAATATGACATTTTTATAATTATGCATTACCCTGATAATTAAAAATACAGCTGATAAATAGCGCCGATAATACAAAGCCAGACTGCTTTCACTGATTTAACAAGGGCAGCATCTACACACCCGACACAGTGGGTGGCAGTGCATGTACCTTTTCTGTCTAGAGGGCAAAACATGTCACAGTGTGGACGTCTCTCACAGTTCCAGAGGGAGACAACAGGATTGCACCGAGGGTCTGATCTCCTACACATCCCACCAGATCAACAAACTTCCTGCAGCTGTTTAACAGGTTAGACACAGTGCTGGAGGATCATCTCCATAGTGTTAGCATGAGCTAATTAGCAGCAGTGGCTTACATCCAATGGCTTGAATCTGTTGCTAAATGTATTAATAACTGCTAGCCATGTGATGCTACTGTTAGCGACTGTTTGTATCTTTACCTGGCAACCCACTGTGGAGCACGTCTCTCCCTCTGGCTGCGTGCGTGTGAGACACAGACACTTGTTTGTCTGAGTTGAGTGTTCATGTGTGAGGTGAATCTTTATTTTACCTGGTAGTTGTAGGCTAGTCTATCGTGGGACGGTGAGATGGCACCTGGGTGTGTTTATAAAAATGCAGCATGACGATATGAATATTTCATACACCTTCATCTCAGCCTGTCTTACCCTCAGGTGTACATCAACTACAAGTTATACACTTCTTTTTGAAATACAAATATGTGAAATGATCAGTTATTGAATCAGTTATCGGCCATGAGAAACAGGTAATTAACGGTTATTGGTGTCAGCTGAAAAAATCCTTATCAGTGCATCCCTAATTTAGAACACCACTGCACTCTATTTTTTTTCCAGCTAATTTCTTATTGCCTTCTCCATCCTCTCTGTCCGATGTGTAGAATATGACACACCCACTGATGTCCTCACAGCACCTCAGGTCAAAGAAAACCTCAGGTTCCAAAATAAATTATTTTTGTTCAAAATGCACCGAACAATTCATAATTTGGTGCGAGAACCGTAACAATCCGTTCCGTGTTGGTAGAAAAGGGGTGAAAGTGAGGTTGCCAGGTTTGGTACCATCATGCCCGTACAGAGACTAAGTCTCACCTGGTCTCTCGATCTTGGCCTTGCCGATGGGAATGGTGAAGTCTTTGGACTGTGACTCCTCCGACATCTCGAAG